TTTTTTTTTTTTTTTTTTTAAGTGACATGAAATGTAACTTCCCTAATAAATGAAATAACGTAACATCAACTTTAATTTCTTCAATTAATGGAACAAACTAAAGCAATGCTTAAATAGCTTATAGTTCTGTATGTTCAAAACTATACGATCAACTTTTATTCTCTATTCATAAATTGATCCATATTCTTTTCTCGCTCTATTCAGAAATTGTAATGAAATCAAGAGATATGAAAGCTGAAGTGGTTTTCATCTGTGTTGTCTTCCTTGTCATCACTTCGATTGGTTGTCACCTCTTCTCCAATTTCGATTATTAATTTAATTATCTTTTGATGACGTGTCAATATTATCATAGAGTTAACAATAGTAGATAATTAATTGCTAAAAACTCATAATAATTCCGTGACGGGATGGTAACTTTTTCCAACAATAATATGATTTTTTTTTTCTATTTATGTTTTAGAAAAGAACAAGTAATTTGCTTTCATAGAATCTCAATTTCTTTATCTCTACATTAATGCCAATTTTTATTTTATTTTATTTTATTTCATTTTTCCTTTCACAGGTGCAACTCGAAATGTAAGGAATGACGGATATGTCACATATGAAGCTGAAAAAAACAGGTCGTTTGCCCAAAATCCGAGTGCAGCCCAAGCTCAACTGCACGATTACGATGATCCAATTTATAGCGAACGTTGTCGACAGTATCCATGCGTGATAGGTTTGGACTGTGAGCAATACGAATGTTTCGCTGACTGTCAAAATAATAGATGCACCACAGTCTCATAAAATTACCATTATTATGACCTTTATGTACATTTTCATGAAGGACTTGAATATGTAGATTTGGAGTCAATAAACAATAAATACAGTAATTTGTTTCGAATCATACGCACAGTTAGTTGTTGTGAATGAGGCAGAATTTTGAGCTATTATTTCATTAATCTAACTTGTTAAAGAGATGTTACTTGAGTACAAATATATATGGAAATTCAAGTACAAAGTGTCAAACGGTTTGCATGCATTTTGTATCAAATGCATTATCGAATGGGCTGGAACAGTTTTTCGGGAGATTATCAGTCGCTATGTACTGAAAATTGTTGCCGTCAAAGTACCAATCTCGAACGGCATTTTCAACTGTCTGCAAAGTAAAACAAAAAATGAGAATAATTTAGCCACGTTTTTTTATATATATATATATATAATTCAAATACTATATGACAGTTTAATTTGAAATTCTGTTACTTTGTTTCCCAAGATGTTATTCACCACGCGTGAACACGTCCACCCATCCTTTGTCATGATATGACCATGGCGGAAGCAGTTATGTACAAACGCTCCTCGAGATGGCGAGTAATTCAAAATTTGCAGTGTTTGTACAAATGTTGTGTGAAATTCTGAAATTAATAAGTATAGATTATAATATAAATGAATGCTGACTATAAACAAATTTGAACTTAATATATATATATATACCCTGCATTTTCTCAATTTGAGTTGAGTTGCAGAACGATAGACTCAGGTGCACACAATCGAACCATTCGTGTTTTCCACCACCTACATATGGTGTGTATTGAACTTGTATCTGCAGTGTCGAAATCCAATTGTCATGACGTGAATTAAGATTTTGTACGTGTACCCGAAAAATATACATATTTCATCTGTTTCTAGTTGATCATAGTATTATGACGATTAATAGCTTATTACCTGGAATTGATCAAATGACGACTCGAGTAGAAATAGTGGAGTCTTAATATCTCCGACTAAGTATTCAGGAAAGAGACACTGATGATAGAAATAAAACCAAGATGTATTGGAATCAAAAGAAGAAATTCTTTCATGTTGAGTACTTTAAATTAGTTATTATCTCTTACTAAATCAGGACGCATCCTCGACGTGCAAGTTTGAGGCAAAAGCTTCGCTAACCCCTGCATTCATGGGAGAAAATCCATATGGAAATTATATATTGAACAAAAAAAAATTATCTAAAATATATATCATGTAATTAATAATTCAAGATAGAGCAATATTACATGTAATTGAACGACATCCCTGAAGTATTGTTCTCTATGCATCAACCCTGGTAGATTTGGTCTAAAAGAAGACAAATAATCCCAAAAACACATAAAATAAAAATAAATATTAGAAACAAATTTATCCAATATATATTTGAGTTGTACGTTTGAGTTAGTTATATAAGGCTTACGCATGCAAGAAAAAACCAGAATCAGACAAACATTTGATGGTTTTGGCGTAAGGTACAAGAGAACGAAGGCCATCACAATTGAGAATCGTGGCTAACCCGCCAGCCGAGCCCCCGGAAAGTAAGATCTGCAGCATAGTGTTTCAGCATTATTAATTTATTTACTTATGTAATAAAATGAATATAAAGTAACTATTAAAAAAAGCTCGTACATTATCCGCATAAGCCATCCCTTTCACGGCCAGCTCTTGAATTATAGCTTTAAAAATTCTGGAGCCTCTGAAATGGAGATTGTTTTGCTGCTTAAAACAGATCGAGGAAAATTAATTACATCATTTCATTAGTCAATATATTAATGAATATAAAACTTTACGATACTTACCGGATCAACTTCATCGACGTCTCCAAAGAAGGAGGAGCCGTCAGCAGTACAATGCAGCCACCTTGTTCCAATTGTAGAAGTCTAAAATATATTATGCAAAAACAAACAATGGAAAAAAAAAAAAAAAAAATTATTTTATCCACACTAACAAATTTGCATGAATTGATTCAATTAATTAATATAACCTGGATTGAATGTTGAGTTGACGTCAAGTATCCCAGATAAGTTGTAGCTATTCCTGTAAGAACTCGAACTGCTTCCTCCGGAAGAGTTGGCTCTTCTAGAACAATCGTAAATAGTAGTACACCATCCACCTTGCTGAAACAATAATATTTACAAAATAAATAATAATATTTAAGAGTCATGGAGAGCAAAAAAAATAAAGATCAAACAACCTCGAGATAAATGACCCAGTTATTTGCTCCGGGGCCCGAACCCTTATCCATGGCGTAACTCGGTGGACTCCCGTCCAAGCAAACTGTCGTCGTTGGAAAATAAACAAAGGAAAAAGACGTACATTGTTAGCCAAATGTGACCCATTTTTAGTTATTAAAGAAAAAAAAAAAGGAAAAAGAAAATGTGGAAGTCGTCCATCCATCGTACCTGCTCCGGTGGCTGTAGCCGAATCGACGATGGTTATGTTAACCGTATAGTCGCTTTGGACTTTGGCTAAGACAGTTAAAAAGACGTACGATAGTGTTAACCAAATGTGACCCATTTTTTAGTACAAAACTACGAAGTAATGAGTTGTAGAGAGAATCGTTTCTCACAATAATGCAAAGTGATAAATTCGCTCTGTTTGTTTTCTTTGTTTTTCTGGTGCATCTTATCGAACCAAACTTTACTCCATTATATAGACGTCATTTATTGCCACGTGGCACTGCTAGGCCACCATGTACTTGAACGACATTGTTGATTTGTTTCCTCGGTTCATATTTTCGGCTGCCAAATATGTGACGTTGGAATAGGTTTCATTAATTGCGATTGTTAAGGTATGTTAAAACTAATCAGTAGTCATGCTTATAAAGATTTTTCCCAAAATTACTGTTTAATTAATGGATGACGGGAAAAGATATCTAAAAATAATTTAAGTTGATTTTTATTATATAAATATATACACTACGAAATAATTTTTATATTTCAACGAAAAATTATATGGTAATATATTCCAATGGAAATTCCAATGGATATTCCAATGGTACAGCTTCCGTTAGAATGATTCCAACAGAAATATTCCAACGGAAATATTCCGTTGGAATGCGTTTTTCATTGGAATTTTAGATGAAATTTGATGATTCTAACGGCTATATTTCCAAAGGTTTTTTACCGTAGGAATTTCCGTTGGAATATGCAAATTCTGTTGGAATTTTTATTTCCACCCCCGTTGGAAAATCCACCTTGGAATCGTCAAAATCCAATGAAAATTCCAATGGAAAACTCATTCCAACTTAATATTTTTGTTAGAATTTCCGTTGGAATCCGTTGAAAAATTCTAACAGAAATAATAGTATTGAAATATCCGTTAGAATTGTCGTTGGAATAATTCTTTTGGAGAGATTTCCGTTGAAATTTCATCATTTTCTTGTAGTGATAGATATAGATTTAAGAGTTCTAGTTAAATTAATCCGCGCATTAAATGCATTTTTTTTAGGTTAATTGCATAAAAAACTACAACTTTTTGTTTAATTGCAAATAAAATTCAACATTTTCAATTTGGCAAAAAAGACCAAACTTTTATTAAGTGTTGCAATTTTGTCTTGCTCGCCGGACCTCCGCCAACCGCCACCCGCCGCAGGCCAACTTCGTCGGATATTGAAATTTTTTTACATGATCTTGTAGCTCTCCTCCGTGTCGACAACATGTCCGAGTTTCACGAAAAAATTACGACGATAAGGCTTCTAATTTTCTGGTCAAAGGTCGTAGATCTACAAACTCTATACGACCTTTAACCGAAAAAATTTGAAGCCTTATCGTCGAAATTTTTTCGTGAAACTCGGATATGTTGTCCGCACGGAGGAGAACTACAGGATCATGCAAAAATTTTCAACGTCGGCGAAGTTGGTCGGCGACGGGTGTTGGCGGAGGTTCGACGGGTGAGACAAAATTGCAACACTTAATAAAAGTTTAATATTTTTTTGCCAAATTGAAAAGGTTATTGTTTATGAATTAATTTGTTTAAATTGAGTTATTTTGGTTAACTATAGTTAATTTTAAAAAAGGTGGTATGGTTAGTTGTAGTGGGATTTTAAGAATGTATTAAAATAATATTTAAAATAAAATAATTAAAATTAATTTGATGTAAAAGTAAGAGATAAATGATTGGAAATGATAAGTAGTTAAAATTATGTGAGTGGATGAATAGTGAATTAAAGTTGATGTGATGTGTAAGTATGATTGATTTATATATTTAATTATATGAATAATATTAAAGATAGTGATGTTGAGTTAAAGTTGAGTTAGATTTTGAGTTGAAATAAAAGTGAAAAAATTATTTTGTAAACAATTACCCCTAAATTTTTATTTGTAATTATACAAAAGGTTGGGTTTTTTTTTTTATGCAATTAACTTTTTTTGGGGGTAATTGCTAGTGATGTTGTAAGTTTAAATTTTGATAAGAAATTTTATAAAGCTGTTTGTTGATGGAGATATTCTGTTACTATTATCCATTTTAAACAATTAATATTAATGAATAAAATAAATAATCAAACACATGTTTGATATACCAATGACGTGGGATTAAAGATCAAAACATAATTGTAGTGGTCCAATGGTGTTTATTAATGGCCTATGTTGTCTATTTCTGGATACATTAAATAAACGACTAAAGTCTATTTTTGTTTCCTTTTATCATTTATGAACCTAGAAAAAGTAAATGGATATTTACTTATCTCTGGACCCTCAAAAAATAAAATAGAATTTGGTGTAAACTTCATTAAGGATCTTGAATAAATAATTTGGTGTACATATAATACTTACTTGATGCGGAAGACGACATAATATGTGATCTTGATCTTGATGATCACAAGAGGTTGAATCGAGTGTTAGATCTAAATTAGTTTCTCCCTCCTGGCCTTCTCTTAACGTAGCAGAAAAGTGATGGGAAAAATACTGCGTGCCCTAATAGGAGGAGAGATGACTAATTTATATAGGGGTGTCTTTAGATCTGGTACGTCCATCAAATATCCAGATTAATGGCTTAGATTTGTTTGACTATTAAATAAGGTCTGGCCCAATAGGATAATTAAATGTGAGCCCAATGCTTTCGGGCCACATATTCTTACATTCTCCCACTTGGTCCGAAAGCCCATAATTAATAGTATAACATTAGGTAATAATGCTAAAGAACCAACAGTTGGCTCCGTTACGGAGCCAACAACCAATGAGACAACTCCATGTGGGGCTGGCCCACAATACTTTAATGTGGGACAGCCCCACATGGGATTATCCATGTGGTTGTTGGCTCCATAACAGAACCAACTGTTGGCTCCTTAGCATTACTGTAACATTAGGTGCACATAAACAAATCTCGTTATGCCATACATCATAATAAACTATGACACGATAAATCATATAGTGAGAGTTATGGCGGTTGTACACTCTCGATTCGCATACTTCATTCCATATACTACTACACTAATAGTTCAACACATCAAGTTCCATAATTATATATAAATATCATAAGGTCCACTTAATTGTCATGAAGACATTCATTTCTTATTCTAAACATAATGTATACAAAATCATAATGAACAAGAAATTCGATAATAGTCAGAAACATAACATCAATGAGCTCAAGAGTGTGCTATAACATCATCATAATCAATCATTAATACAACCAAGACCCATTCTATGTACATGTTCGTTAAATGTCTTTGGTTGTAGACCTTTAGTTAACGGATCAGCAATCATAAGGTCCGTTCTTATATGTTCAATGCACACTCTTTGTTTCTGAACTTCCTCCTTAACGGCAAAGTACTTTAATTCCATGTGTTTTGCACCCTTGGAATATTTGTCATTTTTGGAGAAGAAAACTGCTGCGGAGTTATCACAATACAATTTCAGCGGCTTGGTAATGGTGTCGACAACCCCAAGTCCCGAAATAAAGTTCCGCAGCCATAATGCATGAATTGTAGCCTCAAAACAAGCCACAAATTCAGCCTCCATAGTAGATGCAGCTATGACAGATTGTTTGGCACTTTTCCATGAAATTGCCCCTTCGGCGAGGAGAAAAACATAGCCAAACGTTGACTTGCGACTGTCAAGGCACCCAGCAAAATCTGAATCTGAATATCCAATCACCTCAAGGCGATCAGATTTCCTAAATGTGAGCATATGATCCTTCGTCCCTTGAAGGTATCTCATCACTTTCTTTGCAGCTTTCCAGTGATCCAATCCAGGATTAATTTGCTATCGACCAAGCATTCCAACAGCGAAGCTAATATCAGGCCTCGTGCAAGTTTGCAAGTACATCAAACTGCCCACAATGGAATTGATTCCATACTCTTTCGTTCCACATCATTCTTAGGACATTGCATAAGACTAAACTTGTCCCCTTTCTGTAGTGGGACAACACTTGGTGAACAATTGTTCATACTAAATCTCTCAAGAATTTTCTCGATATATGCTTTCTGAGACAACCCCAACAATCCTTGTGATCTATTCCGGAATATTGAAATTCCAATCACATAGGATGCCTCTCCCATATCTTTCATTTCAAAATTCTTTGAGAGAAAATCTTTAGTCTCATGCAAAATTTCCAAATCATTAGCAGCAAGTAGGATATCATCAACATATAGAACCAAAAATATAAACTTACTCCCACTGATCTTCTGGTAAATACACCGATCAACAGTGTTTTCTTGAAAACCAAAAGACGTGATGATATCATTAAACTTAATATACCATTGTTTGGAAGCTTGTTTAAGTCCATATATTGACTTCTAAAGTTTACACACCATGTGACCTTTTCCTTCTATGGAAAAACCTTCGGGTTGATCCATATAAACTTCCTCATCTAAGTCCCCATTAAGAAAGGCCGTTTTCACATCCATTTGATGTAACTCTAAATCATACTGAGCTACTAAAGCCATAATGATCCTCAAGGAATCTTTCTTAGAAACAGGTGAAAAAGTCTCCTTATAATCAATGCCATCTTTCTGAGTATAACCCTTGGCAACAAGTCTAGCTTTATATCTTTCGATATTGCCACTCGAGTCGCGTTTGGTCTTAAAGACCCACTTACACCCAACTCGTTTTGAACTTTCTGGCAATTCTACTAGATCCCAAACATTGTTTTTAGCCATAGAGTTTAATTCTTCTTTCATAGCATCAATCCATTTATGAGACAAGTCACTGTTAATGGCTTGTGAAAACGAAACAGGATCTTCATCAATGCTAGTATCATAATCCAACTCTTGCAAATAAACCACATAATCATCCGAAATAGCAGATCTTCTCACCCTTGTAGGTTTGCTTAAGGCTATTCCTCGTGGTTCATTTATATTAGTTGGCGACAAGTTAGTCTCTTCATGGGGTGCTACTTCATCCAAATTTTGTCCACCATTATTTTGTGGTTGTGGAACAATATTTGGTACAACTGTGGATATTGGAACATTAATGGGTAATGGAACATCAACCCTTATTTCATTAATTTCCACAGTCTCTTTAGCACTCCCACTAACTTCACCATTTTCAATAAATCTAGCATTGCCCGTCTCA